CCCCCTCATTATTTTTAGGGTGAGGGGGGTAGGTAGGGGGTTCATTTTTTGGGGGAGGGAGGGGGTGACTAGGGGTTTGGGAACCCCTAGTCACCTGGGGGGATAACATTTTTTTAGGGCCCCCACCTGCCGTTCATGGGTGAGGAGGGGGGGAGGACAATAGGTTCCCCCCTATTGGTATTTGGGACCCCCACCCACCGCTCAGGGGTGGGGGCCAAGGGGAGGACATTAGGTCCCCCATTAATATTTAGGGCCCCCACCCACCACTCAGGGGTGGGGGCCAGGAGGGAGGACCTTAGGTCCCCCCCTTATTAGTATTTAGGGCCCCCACCTGCCGCTCAGGGGTGGGGGCCAGGGGGGAGAACATTAGGTCCCCCTTATTTTACTGTAGGGCCCCCACCCACCGCTCAGGGATGGGGGCCAGGGGGGAGGACATTAGGTCCCCCCCTTATTCCAATTTAGGGCCCCCACCTGCCGCTCAGGGATGGGGGCCAGGGGGAGGACATTAGGTCCCCCTCTTATTAGCATTTAGGCCCACCACCCGCCGCTCAGGGGTGGGGGCCAAGGGGAGGACATTAGGTCCCCCCTTATTAGTATTTAGGGCCCACACCCGCTGCTGAGGGGTGGGGTCCAGAGGGGAGGACATTAGGTTTCCCCCCTTATTCCAATTTAGGGCCCCCACCCCTGAGCTGCCACAGGCTGCTCACTGTTTACTAGACATGCCCCTACTCGCGGTATAGCGAGTAGGGGCAAAAGGTACTAATACTAAGTAATTTTTACTTAATATTAGTAAATTTAGCTCATTCAGCCTTTTTGGTAGATAACTCCCTAATACCATGGGAATTAGGGAGTTATCTACTAAGCGGCTGCAAGAGAAGTCCCGAAGTCCCTAAATTCCGAAGTTCCGAAGTGTCAAAGTGTCAAAGTGCCAAAGTGCTGAAGTGTTGAAGTGCCGAAGTGCTGAAGTGCCGAAGTTCAGAATTGTTGAAGTGGCAAATTGCCGAAGTCCCGAATTGCGAAAGTCCCGAATTTTGGAATGCCGAACCGAAAATTTTCCCCATGAACATGCCTAATATCTGTTAACTTTCTAAGTGAGTCCATTTAGGCTCTTCCCCTTCTTCTTCTCTTTTCTAGGTAAGAAGAAGGTAAATCCCTACAAACTGGGCAGGTTAAACAGTAAAAGAGGTTGGGAAGACCAAACAGCTTGAAAAAAAAGGACTGAAGTGATCAGGTTAGGATTCACTGCCCTAAACATAGAAAAGCTGTTTAACTTGGGAGATCAAGACCTATGAACATCACACGGGCACATCACTAAAATGATATCAGTAGAAACTCCATATTTATTGTATAGGGAGATTTGTAATATGCCAACCATATCTCCCAAGTATCCGATTTTAAGAGGAAAACAAATCTCTCAACCCAAATCAATGAAACAAATGCCAATAGATTAGAATCATTCTCCTGGTTCTGGTGACAGTTGATTACATGTTTCATGACATAAATGTTTAACTCTTTGCTTAGTGAAAATGTCAATAGTGTTTATAGTTTGTACCTATTAGAGAGTAATGACCTTAAACACTAGATTTTGGGGGTATTTTTTTGTTTACATTCTGCAGTTATAGTGCAAGCACTGTTATTAATAAGCAGTTAGATTGCATTGATTTAACATTACTTATATTGACCATTTTATTCTCAGAAATATATTAGATCACCAATTTTCTTTGTTCTTTAATTATTAAGTTGTTTATGTTGTTTAAAAAGATCTCCGTTTACAAAAAGAAATGAAATAAAGCCAAAATGTGCCGCATATTCATATATTTTGTTTTTAGGAGGAACATAAAAACTCCCACTGGAATGGTTGCACAGTAGCAATCACTAATTTAATTCTTTGTTCTCAATTTCCGATGAAGAATTAAATAAAGAAAGATTATCCTGCTGTTTGATGCTCCAGAAACCAAAATGTTCTTGAAATGTTATATAATTTGATAAGCAATAACAATTAACATTTCATAATGTTATCATTGCTTTGAGGCACTTAAGCACTTTATCAGTGCTAATAAAAGCCTAATAGTGGGATGTTTAAGTACCTCCAACAGGGTATATGAGACAAAAATGTCAACCATTTTTTATCATACCCTACCCTCTCCAAACTATTTTGCCCTAATTAACAACACCATCATCCCCTTCCCCCAAATATCATCGTGTAGAAAATTATGGCCATATATACTTTTCCTTATTCATGTTTAACCAGATACAAAAATGTACCGGTTTTTTTTACGATACATTTGTTCTAACCCTAAGAAAAAAGTGCTATGTGACAATATTGTCACAATAAGGAATTAATTGAATAGAGAAATGTGGACATTACAACTTTAATATAGCAGGTCAGGGCATGGATACCCCAAGCAGTTTCTGTAAAGGGTTTATTAATGAACCCACTGCACAATGAGTCTGACAATAGTGGGTTGATTGGGCAGTTGCCCTCCTGCTGTATTATTTACCTCTCACTTACCCCTTATGGATAAAGTGGGGTCATTGAGAAGGTCATCCTTAAGTTCAGAACTCCCAAATGTTAAATGTGATTTCGATCCTACAGCTCAAGGTATGAAGGACAACAAGGGTAATTGGCCTAGCTGTCCCCTTGCTCTAATTATTGACATTTGCACATCAGCCTATGATGTGAGGCTATAGAAGAATACTATTTGATTCCTTTTTATTTATTTGGGTTTTAGGACACACATTTCTTTATCAAATCAAACTTAGAATTATGAAGATCGATAAGAATTGTTAGCTGAATGGGTATCTGTTTAAACAGGGACACAACAAAATTGTTTCAAGTTATTGAAAGACGCTCAATAGTATGTCATTGTGGTAGTAATAAATAGCTTACCAATTTTGTCATTTTTCCCCAAGGATTACCTCCTTGGTCCCTCAATATCATGCAGGTGCTGGCTGGGGTATGCCAACCTTTCAATGGCCTCCAAATCATTTGCATAGAGGGTGATTTGGCTAACCCACATCTGATGTCACACACGCATGATCACTCATTTGTATTTCTAAGATGCATAGAAGTGGCTATATGTGCAATACGGTTACTATGGCCTTTTCACTCAACCATATAAATAACCATATAAATAAATCTTCAACTCTGTGAAAAAAATAAAATATTTTTTGGATTCATTGGATCTGTTCTATAACCATAGGACTGGAGCTGCAACCTCATTAGCCCCTATGTTGACCAGCCCTGTTTCTGTGAGTTACTTTTCAGGCATAACAGCAACAGTAAAAATCTTGCTTCGTCTGTACGTTCCCATAAAAGATATTTGAAGAATGTGTCTCGGCTCAGGGCTGATAGTCATCTTGTCAATATGTCAGGTACTGTACTGATTGTGGAAGGGAAAAAGCACAAAGGCCTGCATGTGTTATAATCAAAATGGATTGTGAGGCAGGCTTTCCATTTCAAGGTCAATTTAAGCTACATACCAAGTACAGGAGTAAAAATTCCTGATTATGTAATATGAAAATTAACGTCAACCTTATCATGATCAGCTACATAGAATCTAATCTCTCTTTAATATATGAAATATCCACATAGTCTGTAAATATTATAAAGCATTTGATTCTTCTTTGTTCACAGATTTATTAAAGTGTTAACAATAATAATAAAACAAATGGAGTATTTTTGTTCCCTTTCTTTGTTTAAATATTAATTATTATTGATATATCTTATAATTATATATTGGATTTTTTTTATGAATTACTTTATAGTAATTCATTCTGATTTCCTATAATTGCTCATTTTTTTTCTTATCGTGGGTACCTAAAATATATTGGGACATTTCAGAAAATAAATGTTTGTATGCATCTTTTTTTGGGATTAGCATATTAATTGGGGTTTGCAAAATTCCATGAGGTGGCAACTTGGGTTGGTGCCACCTGCCTCTGAGCATGCTTAGGTGAGATTTTAGTCATTTTACATATGATTGAACACGCCTGTACCATGCCCACGTGTAAAATGGAATCTAGCAAATTTAAATTAACATGCTTATCCCAATAAAGAAGCATACAAACATCGATTTTCTGAAGTGTCCCAATATATCTTCGTCAAGTTATGTATGTTTGTTTATATTTATATGGACTTCTCCACCTGTTTAAGACCAAAGGCTAGTCCATATTCAAAAATAAACCAACGTGTGTTAGTTCTATTTGGAACTGCGTGTTCTGTCTGGTATGTTTGGGGATTGCAGTAACAGAGTCTTCGGACCTGTTGGCTGGCTGCATTGGTTCCTGATACCAGACAGGAGTTAAGAAAGAGCTAAGCCTACCTTCATATTGATACAACCTATTTGATCCCTATTATATGTTACATACCAAATAAGGTATATTGCAATATTAAACTCAATCAGTTGTGGATAGTCTCCCGATGTGCTCCTCCATATGTGTTTCTTTTCTTTCTTTTTTTTTCTTGATTGGTTTATTGTCTAAAGAGAGGAAATCAGATGCAGATGGATTTAGTCCTATATATATTATTATACAGGATCTATATACAAACTACACGTAAACTTCCGAGGTAATATCTATACTTCCTATTGTGTTTGTTTCAGTCTCTTTTATACATATTCTAAGATTGTCTTTTGTCTATTGTGAAAAAAAAAATTTCTTAAGAAAATAATAAAGATTATAAACATAAAAAAAGAAAGAGCAAAGCCTGAGAGTCACAAGTGCCTTTGTAAAGGCAGTACTTGGAGCTAGTAAAGGCAGAAGGAATGATACCTGCCTGGAGCTGAAGACCGATCCGGTGGAAGAGGTCCTCAGAGAACCCAGTCAGGCTTTGACAATTAGGTCTGAAGTGCTCTAGAGTCCCCTGGTAGCAGCGAAGATGCTGATCTGGCAGAGGTACTCAGTGAGATAACAGGAGCTTGCTCTATGTCTCAATATGGAATTCTCTGTGCCTCGGGTCACATTCCAGGCTACTCACTGTACAGGTTTTCAGATTTTGGCTCCACTTCAGCATGTGTCACATTTGTATCAACTTAGCATTTATCATTATTTATCCATTTTTGTGCAAGCGTGCACAATATATTTTATTGGTAACCTACACATTCACAGACAGTAAAGCATAGAAACTTATTTATTTATTGGTTGCCATTAATCCTCCATACTATCATTGCTGAGGGTGGGATTCAATTTTTATATATTTTTTGGATACAATGGTGTTTTGTCACAGCTGAGGATATATCTAAATTTTGTGTTTGATAGTTATCAATATGTTAACATCAGCTGATGGGCTTTGGATGATGACGATGCAATCACAAATTCACCATTTTGTCACTTTTCAGCAACATGTATACTGATATCAGGCCGATCAGATCTTTAAAGGATGGATTAATTTTTTGGGTCAATAACTTACAGTCTGAGGATGGATTTTGAGATTGTGTCAAGAAGAAGGATGTCTAACTTTAAGCCTGATTTTAACTCAATAACAATTTCTAACTTTGACAGTGTTTCCTGCAGAAAACGGTTGAGATATTTTTGGATTGACATTGTACTGAAAACACTCATAACATTGGATGGAATTCAGGAAATGTTATTGATCAGATATTGATGCTGGGCTGTGACCAACTCCTTAGTTGTTAATACTTGGCTTCTGTAGATATTCTTCTTTTATTTTCTCCAGGAGTTGTAACTAAATAGTCAAAAAATATAAGATAAAATGCACTTATTAATAGCTTAGTTGATTGTATCAAACAACATATAACTTCACTTCTCAAACATGAGAACAATATCTCAGGGTACCACGAAAGGCATTGCTGGGTTATGCTTTATAAATTGAATTATAGTTGGAGGTTTTATTGAAAGGTTGAGTTTTTAGGGATTTGAGACTGGTCATGGGAAGGAAAACATTTGGAAGTTAAAGATAAGTGAAATATTAGGCTCTAACATATAAGTTATTGTTATCTCATCTGTAAGTGAGAATCTGTGGTGAAGACGGTGCAGCGATATTGAGTCATTGACATTGGCTAATATTCTAAGATTAAAATGTGAGATTTTGTATGTTGGGAATATTCTCAGGATTCAGGTTACAGCACAGATTGTTACGAAAAAATATAGAAATACTTTAAAAAGGGAATACATCACCATGGAAACCAATGAAATACTCCAACTGATCCCATTGTGTCCATGGTGATTACTCTGCATTATGACTTTTACCCCATTTTTCTGTTAGCGATGTTATTATAAATTCACCTGTTATGCCAGCTCATTACTGTCACAAGGACATCCTGAATACAGACGAAGGGGATTTATAACAATACACATATAAGCAAGACATTTGCTTACACTTGCTGAATATAAAATAATATTAGAATGGTAGAGAAGAAAAAAAGGTATATAGAATAAAATTGTATCCAATTACTTTTTTTTTATTTTTTATTTTTAAATAATTAAAAATCACCCCTCCATAAAAAATAAACTTTTAACATTTCAAGCTTTTAAATTAAAATCACTCAAAATCTCTTTCTCAGGAAACAAAGACATTAAACAACATGATTAAATTGCTATTTATTAAGCATAGTCAAGCCTTCATGGTAAGAACTGAGAAGAATCATGTAAAACTCCAAAATTAGTTATTAAAGCCTACCGCATTGCCAAAAAACTGTACTTCTTTATTGAAGATCTATACGCAGAGCAGAACTCTTGGGATATGTTGTAATTTCCTTTAAAGGAAATTCAATAGCTTCTAATGTATAAATACCATTTTACTAAGATTAAGTATAATCTCACAGAATATAGATAAGTAAAAAAAAATCTGAATGTTTGAGTTTTTTGTTTCTTCCACCTACCAAAATGGCATACATATCCCGGTTATCCACAACATCCAAAGTCGGTCATCTTGAAGAACATTCCTGAGATAAAGTAAGGCATTAATTTTACTATTCGCAGATTATTTATTTGATTTATTGATTCATCATTTGTTTTGATTAAGTTTCTATTATATCCAATATCTAATTTCCAAGTAATAATCTATGGAACAATGTTCTTCTTGATGTATAATAGAAATATAAAGTGCTTGAGTCACAAAGCTAAGGTTAGAGAGAGAAATTCTTCAATAGGAAAAATGCCCGTGTTCTATTTGAGCAGACTTTATTTTGTGGTTAAAGCTACATTTTGGCTTTTAGAGTGAGCTTTTTTTCAGGCATAAAAGGCTCATTCTAATTCTCACTCTAAGAGTCGAAATGCTGCTTTAACTGCCAAATCAAGTGTTCTATGTGAGCAGACTTTATTTTGTGGTTAAAGGAACACTTCGACTCTTAGAGTGAGCCTTTTTGCAAGCATAAAAGGCTCACTTTAAGTGCCGAAGCGTTGCTTTAACCACCAAATGTAGTCTGCTCACATGAAACAACTTGGTGTACACAGGCATTTTTCTTATTGAAGTATTACTCTGGAGATACACCACACCTGCCAAGTCGCACCTTACTCTGGGTTCCTTATTTAGAAGATGTGTGCTTTCCACTCTTTGGATTTGAACATCTCAGATAAAAGCGTTCCATTTCAATGATGTGCAATTTTTATTTATTTGTTTTGCTTAGTGTGCAACGCTCTAAGATAATGACAGCTGGCTGCATCAGCTTCTGAAGCTCTACAGAAACTGGAAGAATGTTAACCAGGAGGAGAGGAGCCTACTAAACATAACTAAATTATCATATTTTACTGTAAAATGTGTTTTTATGCAACTTTAAAAGATTTATAGTTTGTATAATATGAATGTGCGACGATCTTATTTCTCACAATTTCATCTGCCCCCCATCTAATACATACTCATTCAGCGGAGTGCTTCCCATTTTTTGTTAATTTGTTTGCTTGTTTGTTTGAAACATAAAATAAATCAACAGTGTTTACTATGATAAACAAGCATCCAAACAGAGCTGAGACTGATTGGGGTCCTGTATAACGAGCTGATTCACCATATGGTACCTATTTCAAAAGGAATGTCACATTTGATGCAGAATGCATACAAAGTAGATATTTGCACATATTCTATCAGTATTCTGTAAATCATTATTTAGTAGATATGAATACATGCATGCATTTATTTAGGCAAATATTCATTTGGGGTGTGTGTAAAACAGTGTGCAAGAGCTGCAGATCTAATTTCTGCAGCCTTTGTAAGCCCTCCCCTTATAGCCCCACCCAGACTTTTTGTGGCTATCCAATCACAGATCTCCAAATGCAGCTCAATGAGTAGTCACTAAGCAATTGCCTGCATCTTGAGTTTATCTCCACTGAGCTAAATAACCAATAAGTAATTGGGTTGGTTGTCTGATTGACAGCTAAGGTTGTAACAAGATTAATTTCTATTTAAACCTGCACTTTTTATTCAATGTGAATGCAATGTGAAATTCAAATCTTAGTCTATACCTCATAGTTACACAGGCTGAAAAGTGACATGTGTCCGTTAAGTTCAGCTTTTCACACATCTGTTTTTGCTGTTGATTGAAACGAAGGCAAAACACCCAGTTTGAAGTGAATTGCAAGTTTACAACAAATTAGGAGAACAATCCTTCTTGACACCAGAATGGCAGTCTGATCTCTCCTTGTATGAAGAAACTATTACCCCACAAATTAGAAATTATAACCCTGAATATTATGTTTTTGCAAGTATACAAACATCTGTACAGACTCTGATAAAACTATCTCTTCAGGCAGAGAATTCCACATCCTTATTGTTCTTACTGTAAAGAAACCCTTCATTTGACTTAAGTGAAATCTCCTTTCTTCCAGTTTAAATTCGGGACTTTGTATCCTATCTATAGTCCTGTTTCGGAATAAATTTACAGACAGTAGTTTGTATTGGCCCTTAAATATATTTGTATAATACTATTAAAATACCCTCTGAGGTGCTGTTATTCTAAACTAAACACATTTAAATTTTGTAACCTTTTTTCATAACTGCATTACTATGAATGAAAGAAAATATGTTGGCACCATATTCCCCAAATATCTCACTAATATATCATAAACATAAGAAGGATACATTCTATCTAATATAAAAATCAGATTCTGCAATGTTTTCATTAAAGTAGAATAGGAACATTTTAAACGATCAATAACAACTTTACATCATCAGATGGGTTTCTGTCTACCCACTCAGAATGGCTGATACTGGAATAGCTTGTACAGATTGCTGCAACTGTAAGACTGCCCCCTAAGTCAGTGACATAAAAAAAAGAATGTTAACTTTTCTTTTGCTGTCCAACCTCTGTCCAACTTGTGTTGGCTGCAAGTGCACTCCACATACGCAACTTGAATGGTAATCTCTTTGGCCATGGGATGGGTGCCATCAGCTAATTCAAGAGTTTCACTCATCATGTAATAGTGCTCCAGGCAAAGGAATCATGTGGCACAATAAAACTCACAAGGTGTTTAAACCAAAGTCAGATTTATTGGGTCAAAAAAAGTAACGTTTCGACCTGCTATGAGGTCTTTGTCAAGCTTGAGTTTGAACACCTTGAGTGCCTGGAGACCATTCTTCTGTTTGCCTGAGCGTTGTGGGATTGCTGGTCCTGCTTCAGTGCACCTGGTGTCAAACGGAATTGAGTGCGGCTCCTCTATTCAGTCATGAAATAAAACATATATGTCTGTTCAGTGTATGTCTGCAGGTGACGAATAGAACCATTTGCTTTGATTTGCACAATAATTTTCCAATGTTTTTGCTGCTGAAGAGAAATAATTCACATTTTTATTCTAGAATTCACATTTTACTACTAGAAATAATATCCAACACCATGCTTACTGACTCACTATATATAGTATATATAACTGCTTCATGGCATATAAAACACCTCTATTCAATATGCACTGGGGTAGCAATGCTCTCATACGTGAAAGCTCTTATTAGGGCTACAGAATATTAAAGCAAAGACGTCACAGTAGAGAGCAATGTTAATAAAACGGTTTGTATGCAGAATAAATATTACCTTGACAATTGAACTCTTCTTATTGACATCTGGTCATTGCGTAAAGGAGAGAACTCTTCCTGCAAACTAACAGAGCGCTTTTGTTATATGTACTTGAAAATAATTAGGCAGTCACTCAAAGCGTGGAGAAAAGGAATGCTGAACAGGGCAAGTTGGATCCAGTTCACTTAATATAATTCATTAAAATGTGCATACTGTATTTTTTAAGATGTTTTGTTTATCACCCTTCATTCTATGCTTTCATATGTAGGCCATCTAGTGGGACGTTTTGGAAATGTAATATCCACTGAATTTGTCCTCTCCAATATTTCATAAGTCAGTAATTTGTTTTTTTTGTCATATTTGAGGTATTTGTAAGGAAGAAAAATATTTAATAAACAGCAAGAAGATGTTATTACTTTAAATTAAAGCAGCACTGTCATGCCAAACTTATCTTTCTTTAATCGATTCCTCTTCTCTCCCTGTGTCAGGATCTGTCCTTAATTTCTTCCTGTCTGCTCTAGTTTTCTTTAAAACATAAGACATAGTAGGGAATATTTGTCTTATGGAGGTTTCCTACGCCATGACCATCTCTGACCAGCAGAGGAGAAAAGTGTGCTCCGTTTCTGTGGTTTAGAGAAATTTTCCCACAATTCTCACCTTTCCTCTGTGATCTCGCAATGCTTTCTGTCATTCCCAAATGTCCTGTCATTTTAGACAGAACGCCATCGAAACTACCGAATTACAAATTTACTAATACTAGTAGACATGCAAAAAAACAAATACCGCAATGCTTAAGTGATGGACCACCACCACAAAAAACAGCAAAGTGCGAGTACAGCGCTTCAAATTTCTAGTTCACACGTACCCCTTTATGGATATGGGGTAATTAGTTCTCATTAACATGAAAGAGAAGCAAAAACAATAAAATACATAGTGCAATAAAATTTATAAAATTGCATGAAAGTAAGCTTGTGGTGTATATATGCTTACAGTGTTTTGAGCCTTTTTGACGATATAGCTCTGAACGTACACGTATTAGTGCCCTTCTGGCGGCAACTGTACCTCTTCTGATAATCAGGAACCTCCAGATAAGTATATAAATGAAGTAAAACACAAAGGAAGCATATAATAGTGAAAAATACCTTCAAAATATGATAAATTAAAGTATAGGTAAATAAGTCTTGCTCACCTTTACCTGGAGCCCATAGAATACAGGCTCCAAGTATTTGCAGACATTGCCAAACAAGGATTGGCAATTCCCCCTTTGTTCCAAACAAAGGAAAATAGGATAAAGGAGTAAAGTAGGTTAAAATAATTAATCACTTTAATTTAACAAAATAAAAATAAAATAATTCATACAAAAAATAAATATATTAAAATCCTGTTGGCCTCCGAGATGCGTTTCACCCGTTATGTGGGCTTTTTCAATCGGTATAATCCTTTTCCTTGGGGTTATCCCTTTTATTAGGGGAATTCTAGACTTTTTGTCCAATCCTGCTCGTTCTATTCTGGGGCCTGGTGGGGTGCATTACTTTTTCTCGTGGTTTCCATTAGTGTTCCTTCCCGTATGTTCCCCTGTCGTATCAGTCCTGCGGCAAAGTTCCGTTCCATTTGGATGTGACATGTCAGCCATCTTTAAGACACTTACGCTTTTTCGATCATGTTTACTACGATGTCCAGAATCCCTTGCACTTCAGCGCTCGTATTTTCAGATGTTAGGTGTGAGAATCAATACCATAAAAATACAAAGAAAAAAAATTGATATTGTACAATAATTGAATGAAATAAAATGTATATACTTTAACCAGTGGTATGTTGGTTCGTGATATACAGAGTATTTAAAAACTGTGTATTTAAAAAAAGGGGAGTGATTTATGTATTTAATGTGAATATCTATTGCATAAAAATATATGTGTGGAGAGAAGGGGCTCAAGATATATGTGAAAAAAGATTTACAATAATTTTATAATAATTTTATATACTTAAAACTCTAGCAGTAGTATACATATATATAATAGAAGATATAGAAAGGGCTAAAAAACATTTTTAAAAATCTAAATATAGGGAGGGCCCCCATTTAGGGTCCCCACCCATCGCCCATGGGTGGGGGTGGGGGGGAGTACAATAGGTCCCCCCCATAGTCATTTAGGGCCCCCACCCATCGCCTAGGGTGGGGGCCGGGGATGGAGGACAATAGGTCTCCCTCCCATAGTCATTTAGGGCCCCCCATCCGTCGCCCATGGGTGGGGGCCAGGAGGGGGAGGACAATAGGTCCCCCCCATAGTCATTTAGGACCCCCACCTGCCGCTCATGGGTGGGGGTCGGAGAGGGGACAATAGGTCCCACATATACCCACACAGGGGTAAAACTAAGGACCATCTCTATATGGAGAATGAAGGGGGCAAACTGGTAACATCCATATGGCCCTGTGGAATCTTTATCCTGATCTGATTAGTAGTGGGCACAATAAACAGCTACCCATCATAGGTGGCATGTGCTTGTTAATTAGGAATTGGGTTGAGTAACCTATTGCAATGCCAGTGACGTACTGCATAAGTGTTACAATGTAATTCACAGCTTTCTGACAATGAGAGACAGAACAAATCAGAGGACTGCATGATTGTCTAGTTAAAGGGTTAAACTCTATCCTTCTCTACGTCATAGCTTGGCGATAATATTAATGAACACAGAGAATCCCTCAAACAGCTGGATTAGTTCAAAGTGCACTGATTAGTTTCATACTATTAAAATGTGTATCTCAATAAATGTATTGGACATGAACACTGCACATACGTAGTTTAACTTCTCTGCTGCTGGAAGTAAAATCCCTCGTCCGGCAGCATAATTGAAATGTCATCATCTGTTGTCAATTCTGTGCGACTTTTCTTGCATTGGCTGATGCTCTCAGCCAATGAATGGCAACAGCCATTATCACCGGATGACCAGGGAGCATCGAAATGCAGCGGTAACCCAGGTAAGGGAGCAAACCATTGCTAAACAGCTTGCCCCATTACAAGTGCCTGTAGTGCTGGTTATGATCCTTTGAGTAATTATTTTAAATATTAGTGAAAAGTGCTTTTTTAACAGGCTCAAGGAAATGTGAGTGTGATACTGACTATATACTACATTATCTCATCACTACATCATTTTAAACTATTGTGTTGCCCTATGAGAGTTTTATCTCTTTTATTTACAACCACACTCAAAGTTTATTATCGGAACAGTTTTTTATATGCCTGATCACTTGGTGTACACATATAAGTGGTGATTATGGCTATATAGTATGACATATTTTGTTTTGCACTTTTCACTATTCAATGCTGGTTGTATTTATTATAAGGGTGAAATTATTGTGGTTGATTCCACAGTGTGAACTAGCTACACTTTATCTTAGCGCCAGATATTGCACATTGTATGCACTTTATTAGTGAAAAGTTACCTATTAGAGCCCTTCTGCCATTTAATAGGTTGTAAATTTAATATTGGAAAACTAACCTTAGTGATGGAATACACTGTCATTGCCTCTTATGGGACAAAAACAAAACAGAACAAAAGTTAGGAAATAGGTAAAAATGTATTTAAATCTCAGTGGGTAATATTTAATTAAAGTATTTTTCTTCTTTGTCATGATATATACATAAACAGAGAATTCATATTATTGCACTTGCAGTAATAATGTATGTTTTATAGAAAAACAACTGATTAAAAATTAACAATTTGCCAAGGATAAAGAGTTTGTGTCTAATTAAACCCCAGATGGATTTTGCTGTATCATATCTCTCTATAGTATGGTTATGTCTAGTAAGATTGTTAACAGTTTTCATAGAAAGTACAAATAATATATGTTACCCACATGAAATAGCTCAGAAAACTTCATTTTCTTCTAAGTAACTTCTTTTCCCTTTGAATTATACAGGAGTTTATTGACTAAATAATAGGATTTTAGTAATGTGAGAACTGACCTATTGGTATTAAACTATTAGACTTGGAAAAAGTGTACATCTCAGCAGAATTAGAGGTTTTAACCAAGTCAGTTAAATTAGTCTATATTTTGATAATCAAAGGTACTCAAAGATGGTTGGTGGACAGTGTATACTCTGAAAAAATTCCAAGTATGATATATACTTTTCGTTAATTCTACTGTCGATCCTATTATTGATTACATTGTATTAAATCAGGCATGTCACTGAGTTCTGTCAGAATCAGGATGGTTTGACCAAAAACCAAGAATGCATTTTTTACAAGAGTTAAACATGTCAGATAGTAAATAGCCTTTGCGAGAGGGCTGTCAGTGTTTCCGACAGGGGACACAGACACACTCCAAGCCAAGGCCCCATTTCCTGTCTGTTCTAGCAAAGTCAAGAAATATTCTAATATTCTAAACAAGAGCTGGTTTTAAAAGATAGAGGCTGATGGGCAGTAAAGGAGAATAAAAATGGAGGTTGTCAAGAAAGGAAAAAGGTGCATGAATGGAAAAATGGGAACAAACTAAACTCAGGAATTTGCACATCAGGAGGAGTGAGTTAGAACAGTGGTTCCTACCCAGTCCTCAATTAATTCAGGCACTGCCCAGTTCTGTACATGTATTGGGGAAAGGAGAGGGAGAGCTGTACATGTGTTGGGGAAAGGAGAGGGAGAGCTTTGATCCAATGGAGATACTGACAAAGCATGGATCATTGGCTAGGAATCAAATAACTAGAAGGTGAATAAAGTAGAGTTATAACTCTCACTGTCCTTCTCTGCAATACAAATCGCCCTCTTAACCCCCGTCCAAACTACATCCTCCCTTTCCTCTACCCATCACCAAAACAAAACTCCCTTTATTCTTTCCCCAATACCTGTACAGCTCTCCCTCTCTTTTCCCCAATACCTATATAGCTTTTCCTCTCCTTTCCCCAATACCTGTATAGCTTCCCCTCTCCTTTCCCTAATACCTGTACAGCTCTCCCTCTCTTTTCCCCAATACATGTACAGCTTTTCTTCTCCTTTTCCCAAAACCTGTATAGCTCTCCCTCTCTTTTCCCAATACATGTACAGTCTCTCTCTCTCCTATCCCCAATACATGTACAGCTCTACCTCTCCTTTCCCAATACCTGTACACCTCTTTCTCTCATTTCCACAGTACCTGTATAGCTTTCCCTCTCCTTTCCCCAATATCTCTGCTTTCCCCAATACCTGTACACCC